TTTGGGATAGCGCAAAACATGTGTGAGGAGAGGTGAGAAATGTGAAGAGAGATTAAAAAAATTTGAGTGCTTTTGGGCGCTTCTGAAGTCTGACGGATGTCGGGTCCGAATATCGAATTTCGAATACGAATATATTCGAATGTTTTATTCGAATGATCGAATTTCTATTCGATTCGGACCCAAGTATAGTAAGAACCATGAGTTTGAAAATTCGATAGTTATCTCAGAAACCACTGAGACAAATCGTCTCAAAACATGACTGATGGAGAGAGAAAGAAAAACTGCTTTTGGTAGTCGTTAAAGCATTAACGTGCCTTTATTTCACATTCTAGCAGATTGGAAAAACGGAAGGAACTTCTGAACCGACCTAATAAGTTGGAGCCGGTCACAGAATGCTCATCAAGGTAAACTTAACCATGACATAGCGCAAGTATTTACCCTGACACTTCGCACAAGCATATAGTGACTCCCGATGCACCACTCAGTGTTTACAATACTGTTCCTACAACAAACACAGAAAATAAGAGGGTGCACAAATTTCACGAAAACTCTCTTAAATGATCTTCCCCAAATCCCCCCTTCTTTCTCCAACACTGCTGATAATCTCTTAGGGTCGCGTAGCCCAACCTACAATCTCCGCTTCCATGCCAAGGCGTACAAAGTTTCTTTTCCTTAGCTGAAAGCTAGTTTCGAGTTCCACTTTGCCCGCTTCTTCTTCGTTTTCAAGGGCGCCTTGAATGCAGCTTCCAGGCAAAACTAAACACATGAGGATCGCTCATGGAAACTGATGGAAACTGATTTTGAGGTCCTGCAGATAGCCCCCAGCTATCCTGCCCCCCACATATGCAATTAGGACAAACCTTCGAAATTTCGACCAAAACATTCCGATTTTATTCACCGCTAGTTCTTGAAAATCAACAGTTTCAAGCAGAATTAGAAAAAATAGGCCTTCCATTCTCGAATAATATTCGCAACTCGATTAATTGAGAAAACGGGGTTTCGAATAGATTTTATTCGAATATTTTATTCTAATGTTTGTTCGAATTCGTATTCGAATGAACTCCGTATTAGACTAGTTGCCAACCTACCAACTTCATCGATTTCTGGAGAAGTTTGAGCTGGGGGGCTGACAGGGGGTTAAGTGAGGGCACTGATTATGAATGAAGATTTACTTTATCGATTTTATCGATTTTTGGAAAATCTCGAGCTACGGGGTTGGGAGTCGGTATAAGGGGGGGGGGTAAATGGGGATGCTGATTACCGAAGTCTATTTTATCGATTTCAGCGATATCTGGAAAATTTTGAGCTAGGAGTTGGTATAGGGGATACAAGGGTGCTGATTATGAATGGATCGGCTTTAGCCAGATATGTCGGCAAGTTTGAGAATGGTTGCTCTAGTTACTCAGTAAATCATTCGAATATTTATTCGAAGTTCGACTCCCAATGTTCGAATATATTCGATATTCATTCATTCGATATTTTTGATTTTCCGAATTTATTCGCAATTCATTCATTCGAGATTTTTTAAACCTCAAATTCATTCGATATTCGTTTATTCGAGATTTTCGAATTTATTCGATATTTGTTTATACGAAATTTTTCGTTTTCGAATTTATTCGATATTTATTCATTCGATGAAAAATTTTCGAATTACCTAAGTATAGTTCTTACCATGCCCAGATTTGGCGATTTTTCAAAATCTTCATTGTAAACTTTTGAAAAAACTTTGATAGCTGTTAGATAGTGCAATGCAGTGAAATTTTTTGACGCTGACTTTCCAAAATTATAGTTAATACTATCAAATTCTACTTTTGGTCATCCCAAGATTCGCAGAACATCAAACTGCGCACAAAAGGTGTCATTCGATGCAGCTTTTCTCTCCTTTCTGGGGGGCTTTTTTTCTCAATTCGTGGAGTCTTGGCCATAAAATTATCTTAATTAGTGATTTTGAACCTGCCTTTTTCAAATTTGATATTTCGAAGCGGTAAACGCTCTGTTGCTTTGTGAAGTTAGCGTGTAACCATAATCAAACTTTGCAAGCATCAACTTCTGACGATTTTTTAGTGTTTGGAGCCTATGTGTATTTTGCGACTTTGCAAAATTGAAGACTTTCGGAAAAGTTATCCAAAAAATACTAAGAAGCTGATTGAAAATGCGAGAAAATTAGCACTGAATTGCACTTTTTTACGCTACCTAACAGCTATCAAAGCTTTTCCAAATGTTCACAAGAAGGTTTTGATGAATTGCCAAACTTAGGCATGTTAAAAACCATAGGTTTGAAATTTCTGCAGTCATCTCACAAGGGAAGGATCCCAACTTAAGGTGGCGAATTGGAATAAACCGCATACCATTAGATGCGTCTTGATGAGCTGATTTCAAATCTACCTTCCAAATCTGCGACAACGTTATCTGGAAGAAGATATGAAAGGTTAAAAATGTGAAGTAACGGGGGTTTTGGTGCATAATGTGCTTTAGAATCCAACTTGGAAGTGCACGACTAGCATGATATTGAGTGTACTGATTTCAAGGAATGCTCATATTCTAAAGAAACATAGATAAGTGCTTTTGAACAACTAAAAAGTAACTAAAGTTCTTTGGTAAAAGCTGTGAGCAATGAAAAGTCCAAATTTGGCAAATATACAGCGCGATATCTCGAAAATTGGTTGTTTAAAAACACTTATTTGTGTTTCTTTAGAGTGTGAGCATTCCTTGAAATCAGTACACTCAGTATCATGCTAGTCCTACACTCCCAAGTTGGATTTTGAAGCATATTATGCACTAAAACCCCCGTTACTTCACATTTTTAACCTTTCATAACTTCTTCCAGATAACGTTGTCGCAGATATGGGAGATAGATTTGGAATCAGCTTATCAAGACGCATCTAATGACATGCGGTTCATTCCAATTCGCCACCTTAAGTTGGGATCGTTCCCTTGTCAGACACCACCGAGGCAAATGGTTTCAAAACATGGCTAGTGGAAAGAGGAGGAAAACTGCGTTTGGTAGTCTTCGAAGTATTTGCCTTTCCTTTATTCCACCTAATTTATGGCAGGTCAAAAAAACGGGAAAAACTTTCAAACCAAATAATGTATCGCTGTTCATTACTGTAAGATTGGGTAGAAAGTCTCTCCATGTGTTAGGTTGTCCCAAAAGTAAACCCTTTTTTGAGAAATCAAACTGCTTTTGTTTTTCTAGTAAACTTAGGACATCATTCGATAGATCAGATCAAGCTCTACAAAATACGGCTTCAAAAGATATTCGCATTTCAGGTAGAGCTTGAAGCCAAAAATTGGAAAAAAAATTTTCTCACCTGAATGAATTTTCGCGAGAAAGAATCTTACGGAATACTTCAAAAATGGCGATTCCCCCCTCCTTCCCCCGCCCCACCCAGCCCCTCCCCATACGTCAATGTATACTACAAGCCTTACTCAGTATAATCTGAAAATTTTACCCCTGTGTGTGCTTTTATAATCGAGAAATACTAAGTTTTGCATAAAAAACTCGAAAAGAAGGGCATTTTGGCATTTTTGCACCATCTTTGTTTCTCAATTTTGAGCCTCGGAGAAAATCTACAGGTACTTTGGGTACTACTAAGTGTCTGTTATACAGAGGCCAAGATGGAAGTCCATAGAGACTTTCTGGAAGGAGATCCGATTTTCAAGATAGCTGAAAAAATTTGGTTTTCGGCTCAAAGTTTATCTGGGTTACGACTTAGGTGTACCTGTGGTGGTCTTTTTGTAGAGCTTGCTTCGCTCTATTGAATGGTACCCTAGGTCTGTTAGGAAAATAAAAACGGCTCAATTTGTTTGACAATGGTACTTTTGGGAGAAACTAATGGAATCAATGTGAAAAAAGCCGTCTGCCAAAATTTTCTTGTAAGTCTGAAAAACTCGTAGCAGGGTTTTCATGCTCGCTGATTTTACTACACATTTTTGCGACTTTTGAGTCTTCTCAAGGGTATGATCACGTTCTGAATTGGAAAAACAATAATTATGGGAGAATACTACTTACTAATCAAGCATTACAGTGAAGTGCTATCCATATCTAAAGTCTGCGACATTGATTAATCTGGCATAAATGCTTTTGACTTTTTTCGTTTATTTTCCGAGGCAAAAATGGCTTTTAATATTCTAGAATCCTTTTTTGAAGTAAGTTGAATACTCTTTTGTCTTTGAATTTTGACATGATAAGATGTCAGTAGATAACTGTGTCAGTAGTTTGCGCCTTCAGTTTCCGTGGTGGAGACTTTGGTCGTAACGGACGTCACTCACTGTGACGTCCATTACGACCAAGTGTGCGGGCTTGTCGCTAGCAGGTGGAGTCGATACCTTTGATGACGACGGCATTGTCGAAACGTAAGGTCAGTAAGGTCTTCACCACAGATTCTGAAAGCACAAACTACACAATTATCTACTTTTTTGAAGTTCCTAGTGTTATTCTGCACTAATGAAGAGCGATTGAAAATTCGCTTGTATCATCGCTTTCAGATTCGTGTGGAGGTGGAGTGTTGCCAACTCACCGCGTGGCAGTTTTTGCTAGTGAGAAAGTACGAAAAGCATTGCTATAACGTGGAGGTGTAACAAATTTACCTATGTTAACAGGCAAAGTCTGCAATACACCTTCACACAAACCTGGAAACCGATCATACAGTAGGTTTGACTTGAAGCCAGCTCTACAGAGTAATGCCTAAAATTCGGCGAAGACGTGAAGCTATCAACGATCAAACTGTTTGCACATTTTTGGGACAAGTATATTATGGAATAGCAAGTTTCGGTAAAGACAAAATTGTGTATATTGTGCACAACTTTATGAGGTTCTATTTCTGACACAATCTGCGACATTGTCTCTTACAAATGCCCAGGAATTACACAGCAGAAAAACCGAGGTTATTTGTAGTCTCGTGTTCCTTTGCACTCAAAAGATCATTTGTTTTTCTGTCAAGTTGTGCCAGAGAAATCACGTTTTATTGTCATTCATCGTTATATCGACCGCTCTATGTACCGCTCTTATTCTCTCAGAATAATTTTCCAGGGAGTACGTCAGTTCGACCAGAATGAGAACTTTCAACTATATCTTCCTATTACTTACCACAATAGTGGTACGTTGACCAAGCAAGACGCGACTTAATTTGCGAATTTACTTCTTAGACTTACTGGCGTACAGTGCTTTATTGCTTACAGATCTTCTTTGCTGTGAACGCTGCTGAAGGCGGATCAATGGCGGTCTCAAAAGAAGGGATAAAGATGTTGCCGAAACCGGTGCATTGGTGTGGACATGATGAACTCATGCGTAAATTCAAACCCAAACCACTTTCTCCACTTCCTGTAAAGAAATTCATAAAGAAACAGTGATATTTTGTGCTCGATTGTCGATAAACCTTGGCACTGTGATTCAAGTTGTAACACAGTTTTTTAGCTGTCGACTAAGGTTGGTAGCAAGACTTTATTGAGCGATAAGCCAACGTTTCGGCGGTCCGTCCGCCTTCATCAGGGCTTCCTAAAAGATCAAAACTTTGGGAACTGTCCGCTCAAACGTCCTGTTTGGCAATAGATTTAGTTTAGCTATGTGATGGAGTGGCAGAATAGATGTTGGAAGCCTAACTTCAGCCTTGCCAGATCGGGATATAGAAAGCGAACACAACCAGTACTGCGCTGCAGCTGCGCTATGTGTGATAGTCAGTGTCAAAATGCCCTTTATATGGTTAAAGAAGATCTCGTATCAGGATCCACATAGTGTTGGATAGGAGAACCGTTCTGTTTATGGCAATGCCTTCATCTTTGCGGTTCATTTTTGGATTTTAAACGCTTTCTAAGAGGCCTCCAAAGTTTTGAGGGCTATTAACTCGGATTCGTGCGACAAGATCATAAAAGTGACCTGAAAGTATTGGTTCTCATGACATAACCTTCGATGTGCACCCAAAGGTATGGACATTTTGGATTTTTCAAGGCCGTCAAGATGGTCTCTGATTCTTGCGCACAGGGTTCTGCCAGTCTCTCCTATGTATTGGTCACCGCATTTTTGACAGTTTGTGAGATATACCACTCAGGGTCAAGCGTGCTGATGCGATCCGGGACCCTCATTTACGACCCCCCCCTTGAGAGTACCCTTCCGTACGACCCCCCACCCTCCCCCCCCCCCCTCCCACCCTCACCCATTTTCCCCCTTACCTCCTCTGCCCACATTCCTCGCGGTAACCTGCATAAACGAACGTCAATCTCAAAAAACACCTGCGTGAGAAATTCAGTGAGGTTTCGAAAGCAGAATTTCTAGGCCAATGGGTGCGTCCATCATCTGTAGCACACATACACACCTTTAATAATGTTTGAGATTCTGCAAGTTTTTTTTGAATTTTCAGGCATACTTCAGGCCAGCAAATTCGATTCCCGTAGGCGACACAAATTTTTGCACGGAAAAAAATGACATTCTTGAACTACAAAAGATGTTTTCGACTAAGAAGCTTACTTCCTACCCTTTCCACAGTTTTTCCCGCGAAAAACACCGCTTGAGCGCCGTCCAGAACGACGTCAAAAACGTGCATGAGCACGGTAGTTTGAAAATTCGTAACTAAGGCCAGGAAAAGACTGAGAGGCTGCAAAGCACAGGTTCTGTAGTATATTGCCCAGACTATCCAAAGAAAAAGTTTCAGCTCTTGAGGGGCAGTAAGCTCGAAAAAATTTAGATGCGACTCTCGCAAATCTAGATGCGATCCTAAAAAGCAAAAACTGGGATTTTTGAGCTTAAAATTTTGTAACTTACCAGAGAAGTTATAAAACAGCCTGCAATTTTTATGAGGAAAAGTAGGAGGATGGCCTCATATTACAGCAGAATTGCAGCCAACAAGCTTCAATAGCTCCGAAGAAATTTAGATGCGACCCAGATACGACCCCCCTTTCCTGACTTTTTGCCACCATACATAAAATCATAAGAAAATCCACCGTTGACAAAATAACACCAAATTTTGCATTGATATAGCGAAGCATCTCAAAAGTACAGATAAATCATATGAGCCCGTGAAAAACATTACAAAAAAATTTAGAATTTTATGATGGTCACGGCTGGTAAAGACATTTGCTTTTGTCGAGTGTGTGAGGCTTCAGGAAGGCTTCAGAAGCAAGATTTCTAGGGCAGTCGGTACATTTAGCATTTTTATCAAATCACATATCCTTCAAAAGTGTTTTGAGCTCTTGTAAATGTTTTGAGAATTTCTACAGATTTTTTATCTTATTCTGATTTCCACATTTTTATAGATTCATTGTAAAGAACATAACTGATAATCTGCTTTTTGATTCCCTTTTAAGTTAGAGTATTTTAGTCTAACTACCTCCTCTTACGACCCCCCCCCCCTCACCTTAGATACCCTCTTACGCCCCCCCCCCCCGTTGCGACAGTCGCATCACAAGCTTGACCCTGATACCACTCCTATTTCCATGCAGTCGCCTGGTTTTCCAGACATTAGGAGGTGGGTGATCAAAACTTGTTAATATAGATAACAAGTAACCTACATTGTAGCCGGAAGCCAGGAGTACAAAAAAGTTGGGAAGGGCGCAAACTGCGGAGGGGAAAAAATCAAATTCCAATTGTCCGCTTTCTTGAACATTTTTTCGCAGGCCTTAAAACCCTAAAATATGGAGTTTTTCAAATTTTCTGCGTAATGAACTGCTACACAATTCTGCAGAAACTGTCAGTAGGAAGTCCACCCTTACGCTTACAGAAACAAGCGAAGCTTTGGCGATTGCCCTTTTCAAAGGAAATTTATGGGTCACAGAATGATCAAAACGACTGCCAATGTTGAGGCGCGAAAATCTCAGTCTAGAGGAAATGGTAGAATGTGCATAGTGTAAACAATTTCCATTAAATGCAGTAGCTTCTATCCAATGATGGTTAAGACGGGCTTCTAGCTTCATTAGTGAAAAATAATAGAGCTTCACACAACCGCACTCAAAACCAAAATTTCATTGCATTTACTTTTCTGGCCAGAAATAAAGCCCTAATAAAGGCAAACTTTTGAAACTCTAGCTACTGTATTTGATGGAAATTGTCTACATTATGCACATTCTACCATTTCCTCTAGACTGAGAGTTTCGCGCCTCAACATTGGCAGTCGTTTTGATCATTCTGTGATTCATAAATTTTCTTTGGACAGAGCAATCGCCAAAGCTTCGCTCGCTTCTGTAAGCGTGAGGGTGGACTTCCTACCGGCAGTTTCTGCAGACTTGTGTAGCAGTTCATTGCGCAGAAAATTCAAAAAACTCCATATTTTAGGATTTCAAGGCCTGCGAAAAAATGTTCAAGAAAGCGGACAATTGGAATTTGATTTTTCCCCTCCGCAAATACTCTTTGTTTGAGCCCTTACCAAATTCTTTTGTGCTCGTGGCTTCCAACTACAATGTAGGTTATTTGTTATCTACATTAACAAGTTTCAAAGAAGGCTATGATCAGTCAAAAACGAAGTTTCAGAAAAAAGTTTTCTGCTTATCAGTTCAAATTTTTTTGCCCGTTGGTGAAATGAGTATGGGAGGATGTGTGCTGCATTGCGAAAGGTTTAGTGCCTCTAATTTTTTTGCCGCACCGAAAAATATAGATTTTTTAGAAAGTTACAACACTCGAAGTGAGAACTCGCAAAACGCGCATCACTTTTGCACCAACCTAATAGTTTTTGCAATTATCTCAGCGCTCGTCGAAGCAGCCACAACAAATATGCAGCTGGAAGGAGGAAAAAATTCCGCATCGGATGCTGTTAAAACGATTTGTCTATTATCATTCTAAACGATTCAAGGACAGCTCTAAAAAAATGCACGAACCTTCGGACCCACCTAATATGAGCTGTATAGGTGAAAAGTTAGAATTACGATACCGATCATAATTCGTCAAAAAAGTCGCCGGAGTGCGGCGCACTCCGCCGCACTCCGCCGCACTCCGCCGCACTCCGCCACACTCCGACGCACTCTAGCGCACTCCGCCGCAGTCCGCCACACTCCGACGCACTCTAGCGCACTCCGCCGCAGTCCGCCACACTCCGACGCACTCCGGCGCACTGCGCCACACTCCGCCACACTCCGACGCACTCTAGCGCACTCCGCCGCAATGCGGCGACTTTTTTGACGAATTATGAGCGGTATTGTATGTAGAGCAGTCTGTTATATCCCCCCTGTTCTTCCACACTGGTATCGTTGCGCTCTTGTAACAATCGTTGGGCATCTTCTTGCATTCTACAATACCATTCACATAACTTGCAAAATTTCCGTGAATGTCGCGAAATTCCGAAAATTCCGCGAACTTTCCGGAATTTCGCGAAACTCCTGAAAGTTCGCGACGTTTCGCGAAATTCCGGGAATTTCGCGGAATTTTCGGAATTTTGCGATATTCAGGGAAATTTTGCACATTCTGTGAGCGGTATTGTACTCGACGTGCTAACAACACTTCTTACATTGTTTTGCTGCTGGTGGCACATTGTAGGATAGAATATCTGCCAAATTACACGACTTTCGAATTTGAAAGAGAATTCATGAGAAGGCGATTTTGTAACATCATAATCTGACGAACAATTCAAATAAAGATCTGTGCTAAGCATGGTCCGATAGAGGTGTTCAAAAAGTTTTCAACTCACAAAAATTTGCAGACAATTTCCGCAACAGGTAGGGGAAAAGTGCAGGCGAAGTTGCGATCTTGATTGGTTCAGCTAGTTCTATCTCACTTTAGCTTTACTGTAAGACTCTCTAGTGCAAAATAAATAGGATTTTCGTAAAGATCGGGACCAAGAACCACTATGAGTGAAGTTTGCGGTCAATCCGAAAACCTCAATATTTTGACCAAATTTTGCGCCGAGGCCAAGAGTGAGGAGCGATCGCGCTATATCAATGTGTATTGCTTCTAAGAAGCTGGAAAAAATATGTAATGTATAAGTATGAAACAGGTGTCTAACGTGATTTTTGGGGGAATTACGGGGCAACTTTGGGAGAGCCGATTTTACGTCCTGAGCATGCATGTTGGGGGGCTAATAACTCTGCGAATATTACAGCTACGGGGCTGGGGTTTGTTTTATTCGACAGATCTCTGAAAATATGATTTTTAGAAAGAAGGTCGTAGAATAACAAATTTCCATTAAAAGTGCCTAATTGACAGCCGAACTTGGGAAATCGGTCAACAAGGGCGACTTCGGCGCCTTATATCTCTACGAGTCGCAGGGCTGTGGTAATTTCATGTGACCATTGACATGTAGTTTTTGTAGCTCTATTTTTCTGGGGGTAGCTTGTGCCTAGAGATTCCCTGTAGGAGGCGCTATATAAAGGCGATAGTGCATATTTTGAATTTTATCTCCGTGGAGACTAGGGATGACGGGCTGGAATAGCCATTCTTCAGTTTGTATTCGAGGGGGAC